CAGTGTCAAGGAGAGGTCAAGTCTCTTCCCTGCTAACTGTTGCACTCATGACATGTATGATCCTGCCCTTCTTTGCAAGGCTCCAATGCAAACTCAGAGGTGGGACTGTTTGCAGTGATGCCTAATCAACTTTCTCACATGGTGAGCATCAGGCAGTGTGCCAGACCCCAGCTTTGTTTTACAGACTATACTGTTTGAATCAACTGTTCAGATAAACTATAGATTGTTCAAAAGCAGAACTTTAAAGTGCTGCATTTATTTATCTTTTTTCATGGCTCTGCCTATGGCAGACCACTTTGGGCCAGGGAGAAAACATAAATCATGCCCATGTCGATTAAATGAGAGCCTAGGAGAGTATCAGTACTGTAGCTCCATCAGTTGGTGATCTTCCCCAGTTCTGTCCACTTACATGTCATTGGCTAGTGTCACTATCCATTGTCTGCTTCATGTCTAAATCTAAGTGGTCCATCTTTCTTCCACCACTGAGAACATCTTGGCTTAATGCAGGTGTACATTATATTTATTTCATCGTTCTGTTTGTGTGTTGCTTTTCAACCAATTCATTTGTTGCTTAGTATGCTGATTTCCACCATCTCCCTATTCTGGTATAAACATTAGGAATGTTTTCAATAGCAATACCAATGATTCAATCAACTCCAGTACCATCAGCTTTACAGTTACTTCTTCCTCCCAATCAAAAACTTTATCCAATCCTTCATGAGAACTAATGTATTCATTCTTCTTCTCTAGCTTAGTTTAAAAATAAAAAAGTAGCTGACTGATGTGCTCCAGATGTGTATCTTGTTCATAAATTAGAACCAGTCTGGTGTAGTGGTTAAGTGTGCGGATTCTAGTCTGGGAGAACCGGGTTTGATTCCCCACTCCTCCACTTGCACCTGGCTGGATGACCTTGGGCAAGCTGTAGTTCTGATAAGAGCTGTTCTTGAAAAAAGAACAGTTTCTGTCAAGAGCTCTCTCAGCCCCATTTACCTCACAGGGTGTCTGTTGTGGGGAGGGGAAGGGAAAGGAGTTTGTAAGCCGCTCTGAGACACCTTTGGGTAGTAAAGGGCGGGGTATAAATCCAATCTCTTCTCTTCTTCATAAATTGGCAATTTCCTCCTTTCTTCCACACAAAGGGTTCAGGGAGGCAGAAGATGATTAACCAGGGACTGGACAGTTCCCAACCTTCTCCTGGAAAACAGAGCAAAAACAGTGACCTGGCTACCTTTTCCATGTTGCGCATTTGCTACTGAGTGGAATATAGCACTGAAGAGAGTGGGCCGTGTATCAGGGATTTCTTTTTCAGATTTGAAGCTTCAGCTGAAGATGAACTGCTAGCTGTGAATCTGAGGCTTCTGTTTTGAAACTGAAGACAAAGAGATGCATGTGGAAGCAGCCTAAATTACTTTCACTCCATAGTAATTGAAGGAAGGTTATTTCTGCCTTCCTTCCCAATCCAGCTGTCTTGTTCTGTGCATATTCAGTGCTCTGGAGACTCAAACATTTGAAAGGACCTTTGTATCTTTATGTATCTTTAATTGTGGGTGCCAACATTGGTTGATGTGGCTTTTTAAAAAAATCTAGGAGCTTAAGAGCTTTCAACTTACAACAGAAATAAAGTGTATCAGAGCTTTGGAAGTGCCTTAAAATGGCATATTCTCAGTGGCATTAGAACAGAGAAGCTATAGGGCAAACCTGTATCTTTCAACAAAGAGAAGCCTTTCTTTGTCATTCGGAATTAAAAGTAAATTTGTAATGCGTGTAACAACAGATATGTGATTCCATGATAGAGATGGGTATAGAAAAACAATTCCTTTTGTTTCTTAATTTTGCATTTCAAAGACCCCATCTGCTTCATTTGTTACTCTTTTCACCTCCTATTTTTCTCTGGGGACTTATAAGAACATAAGAGAAGCCAATGTCGGATCAGGCCAATGGCTCAACCAGTCCAACACTCTGTCACACAGTGACCAAAAATACCAGGTGCCATCAGGAGGTCCAGCAGTGGGGACAGGACACTAGAAGTCCACCCACTGTCCCCCCCCCCAAGAACCAAGAATACAGAGCATCACTTCCTCCAGACTGAGAGTTCCTATCTATACCTTGTGGCTAATAGCCACTGATGGACCTCTGCTCCATATGCTTATCTAATTCCCTCTTGAAGTCGTCCACCACCTCCTGTGGCAGTGAATTCCATGCGTTAATCACTCTTTGTGAGAAGAAGTACTACCTTTTATCTGTTCTAACTTAACTGCTCAGCAATTTCATTGAATGCCCACGAGTTCTTGTATTGTGAGAAAGGGAGAAAAGTACTTCTTTCTCTACCTGCTCTATCCCATCCATAATCTTATAAACCTCGATCATGTCACCCCCTCAGAGGTCGTGTCTCCAAGCTAAAGAGCCCCAAGTGCTTTAACCTTTTTTCATAGGGAAAGTGTTCCAACCCTTTTATCATTCTAGTTGCCCTTTTCTGCACTTTTCCAATGCTATAGTATCCTTTTTGAGGTGTGGTGACCAGAACTGTACACAGTATTCCAAATGAGGTTGCACCGTGGATTTATACAGAGGCATTATGATACTGGCTGGTTTGCTTTTAATTCCCTTCCTAATAACCCCCAGCATAGTGTTGGCCTTTTTCATTGCAATCACACACTGTCTCGACATTTTCATTGAGTTATTTACTATGAATCCAAGATCTCTCTCTTGGCCAGTTTCTGCCAGTTTTGACCCCATCAATGTGTATTTATAGTTAGGATTTTTTGCTCCAATGTGCATCACTTTGTACTTGGCCACATTGAACCCCATTTGCCACGTTGACGCCCACTCGCCCATCCTCAACAGATCCCTTTGGAGTGCCTCACAATCCTCCCTGGTTTTCACCACCCTGAACAACTTCGTGTCATCCAAAAATTTAGCCACTTCACTTGTCCTTTTATTCCGTAGCTATTGAGCTTACTTAGGAGCCTTTGATCAGGAACTTTATCAAAAACTTTCTGGAAGTCAAGGTAAACAACATCTATTGGGTTCCCCTTGTCCACATGTTTGTTCACTCCCTCAAAGAACACTAACAGGTTAGTGAGACAACATCTTCCCTTACAGAACCCATGCTGAGTCTGCCTCAATAGTTTTTGTTCATCAATGTTCCTACTAATTCTTTCCTTAACAACACTTTCCACAAACTTACCCGGTATCGACGTCAGACTGACTGGCCTCTAATTTCCTGGATCTCCTCTGGAACCCTTTTTAAAGATGGGAGTGACATTAGCTACCTTCCAGTCTTCAGGAATGGAGAAAGATTTTAATGAAAGATTCCATATTTTTGTCAGGAGGCCCACAAGTTCACATTTGAGTTCTTTCAGAACTCTCGGATGTATGCCATCCAGGCCTGGTGATTTATCAGTTTTTAAGTTGTCTATCAGTCATAGGACCTACTCTCTCATCACCTCAATCTGACTCAGGTCTTTCAACACCCCTCCCGAAATCAGCGGTTCTGGAGTGGGCAAGCACTTCTCATCTTCCACAGCGAAGACAGAGGCAAAAAATGCATTCAGCTTCTCAGCCATTTCCCTATCAACCTTCAGTACTCCTTTTACCCCTTAGTCATCCAAGGGCCCCACTGCCTCCCTGGCTGGCTTCCTACTTCTAATGTATTTGAAGAAAGTCCTATTGTTGGTCTTTATGTTTTTCACTATATGCTCTTCATATTCACTTTTTGCCTGCCTGATCCCAGACTTTCACTTTATTTGCCACAGCCTGTGTTCCCTTTTATCAACCTCACAGAGACTAGCTTTCCATTGCTTAAAGGAATCTCTCTTACGTTTTACAGCTTCCATTACTTTTCTTTGTTAACCATGCAGGCTTTTTTCTATACCTATTTGTGCCTTTCCTAACCTGCAGTATATAATTTTTCTGAGCTTCTAGGATTGCAGTTTTCAATAGGCTCCAAGCTTCCCCAATGGTTTTGACCCTTTCTACTTTTCCTTTCAGTTTCTTCCTCACATGTCCCCTCATATCAGAGAAGTTACCCCTGTTAAAGTTAAAAGTGGTGGTGTCAGTTTTTTTTGGCAACTCCCTATTTATACAAATGTTAAACTCAGTAACATTATGGTCACTGTTCCCAAGCGGTGCAATCACTTTTACATCTCTCACCAGGTCTTGGGCATTAATTTGGACCAAATCCAGGATCACCTCTCCCCTGGTTGGTTCTGTGACCATCTGTTCCATAGCACAGTCATTGAGAATGTCTAGAAACTCAATCTCTTTTTCCCGACTTGAACACATATTGACACAATCAGTGTGTGGGTACTTAAAATCACCTGTTACGACACAGTTATCTCGTCTACCTGCTATTTTTAATTCATTCATCATTTTATAATCCTCCTCTATCTTTTGATCTGGTGGGCGATAACAAACTCCCAGTGTTAATCTTCCTTTTGGGCCCACTATTTCAACCCATAGCATTTCCAGAAGTGAATCCAGTTCTCTTACCCTCTCAATCTTACTGGACTGTATACCCTCTCTGACATACAGAGCCACCCCACCTCCAACCC